GAATGGGTATGCGTGTTGAGACCTTTTAGACTGTTTTGTATTGTTGTTTGTTTTTGTTGTGGTTTTCCTTTTTGTATTGTCCTCCCTCCCCTCCCTTTGTTTTGTTAGCCGCCCTGAGTCCCTCGGGAATAGGGCGGCATAAAAGTCGAATAAAACCTTCAAACCTTCAAACCTCCTACCCAAGATGGCTACTGAGGAGTAAGGGCTTTCTTTCTCTTACTTGCAATCTATTACATACTCACAATCAATACATTTATTGCCAGAGCTGGTTCTTTGGCAGTCTTGTCCCTGGAGTTGAATGGGGGCACTTAGGACTTATGAGTTGCTGTGAACCCACCCAGGAGGTGAATCTTGAAGGCTGCAACTCCTTGTGGGAACAGCCGAAAAGTCAATGGGCGTTGACATCTCTTCCTACCAGCATAATGTTTTTGTAAGCATGCCTGGGGCTTTTAAGTTCACTTTTTGAATTTTTGTTTTTGTTCTTATCTTTTAAAGGTTAACTGGCTGGCTGAATGTCAATTTATTTCAGCCCCTGCTGGATTCTTTCTGCTTCCTTTTCTGCTTTCTTTATTTGACTGCTGTTATAAATTCCTGCTTTCTATATAGAAACATGGCACATGACTCTGATTTGTATTTTATTAATCTGCAAAAACTTTTTGGGATCAAAACAGTAAGAAAATATCTTCTCTGCATTCTTTGCTTTGAACAACAACATATCAGATTATAGAGAGGAGAAGGAGGCTGGCACTCAAGGGAGGGGGAGAGTCTGGCTAGCAACATGCAATCTTTAACTTGATTTTTTTTCTAAAAAGTCTATAAATTTGATGAACTTACAAAGATTGTGGGACACATTTTGAAAAAACAGACACTAAATCCTTTAGACCCACAAAAAGAACCAGTTTCAAAGAAACAAATTCATTGGGAAGAAATTCAGACATAGAAACAACACAGATTGTAAAAAACATTGAGAAAAAATGTGATTTCCTAGCTATAAATTGGCCAGAAAAACATATAGACTTAGAAATAATAAAGTTCAACTCCATATACACTTTCCAAAAGCTTAACACTGCTTTTATATAAAAGCTAAAAACTCTCTGTGTGGACAAGTGGTAAATGGCTTTTTAAAATGGGTTTGAAGGAAAAAGAGGAAATGGACTTAATACATCTAATTCAGGAATGATTTTATCTGTTTTTGAGGGGAAGATAGTTGAGCTTTGGAGATTGGACATTAATATTCAAATCAATCAGCAATTGGTAAGAAATAGTATAAACAAACAAATAGATCTGGGACCAATTATGGCTAATATCTGTGGTGATTTGGGATTGAAGTAAATTTTCTACAAGTTGATTACAATATTAGTTAATAGAGGATTTTGCAATTTCAATATTTTCTTTCTCAATATTGTTCACAAATTGTATTACTTTTATACTTTTATATAGTATGCTTATTATTGTTGTTGTTTTCTATTAGTTATTTTGTTATTAATATAGTTTATAGATGACAGGCTAACAATTTCTAAATAGATTTAGTGGTTTAGACCCAGAGAAGCATGGGGATCTCATATTCCACAGCACCCTCACATCATCAGTTATACCTACCTCCCTGCCTGTGCACCATAACTCATTCTTATACCCACCCATATGTGCACCCACCTGAACTTGGACCTGACTGTACCACACATGTGTGCCCACTCTCAAACACATTTTTTAAAATCATTATATTTTATAAAATCCAAATTATAGGCCTTTAAAATATAGTATTTAATATTCTGCAAAACATACTTTTAAAAATTTAGGTTTTTTTAGCACATTGGTTATACAACAAAACCCAAGCATGGCAAATTCTTGTCTTCTCACCCAATTCTCCTAACATCTACTGTCATTTGTTTTACCTCCACCATGGTTTTTGGCAATAATTCTGCTCTGAAAAGTTGCAACATTGCCTCCATTATGTTTTTCCAGCCCTCTCGTAAAATATCACCATGTCGATGAGCCAAATGGAACACAGTCTTTGCTGCAATGTGGGCTTTTGGATTGCTTCCAAAAACTGTTGGCAAATTCTCAATTGACTGCAACAGAAAAGTACAAATAAATAAATTCTTATTGTTTAAAAATCTCAAGTTTGGTATAAAATATTAACTCAAAATATTAAGTCTTGATTTAGTCAAATGTTCAGTCAGAAATTTTGACTAAAGTTGATTAATATTTCACTACTTTCACAGCCTATGTATTGCAGTCTGTAACTAGTTAGCTAGTTCTTCACTCTCTATAAGGTTACAACTAGATACTGCTTCTTCCCATAATCTATCCCTTATCTAGAACTCATCCATAAGACATTGACTTTTCAATCCTGGTGTTAGCAAAAAAGTATTATAAAGGTTTGCCAGAATTTCATAAAAACATGGTTTTTGATAAAATAAGCCAACTTTATATTCTTTTCTTTTACCTATGACAATCTAAATCTTTAGTTCATTCAAATATTGTCATAGGATTTGATGTCTCTTCAATTCTTGTTTGTCCCATTGCATAGGCTTCTTTGGGCTTAACACACAAGATCTGCAGTCTCTGGCAGGTTTAGAGCTCTGAGAGATAAGGGAATAGCCATTTTTTCAACCATGGTTGGTGGATTCAAGAAACACTGGGTTTACGTGTAAGTAGTCCTCTTTTACCTATGACAACTGAGCCCAAAATTTTTGCTGCTCACCAAGATAGTTATTAAGTGAGTTTTGCTCCATTTTACAATATTTTCTGCCACAGTTGTTAAGTAAATCACTGCAGTTAAGTTAGTAACATAGTTTGTTAAGTGTGGTTTGCAGGGACCTAGGGACACTACAATCGTCGTAAAACTCAGACACTTATGAATTGTACTAAATGAACTATTGTAAGTTGAAGACTACCTGTACTTCCTTTTGTGGCATCTTTGTGTTCAGAAATTGGCTCAACTAGGTAACATTGATGATGTTACTAGTTGAGTAATGAAAAGTCTGCAAGAAAACAAACTAAGGAATTTCCACTTTTGAAATTGCTTATTAACTGCTCTTTCAATTATTATGAATTTTGGATCAACAGGTTTTACAGCAGGTTTTATACACTGATGAATTTTCTTCAATTCTTAGTGAAATATGTTTTAAATACAAGTTTAAAGACTTTTTAAAAATGGAATAAACAGCAAAAGAATGACTAAAAGTTTGATTTTGGAAAATTACAAACAGATCAAGGGTCCAGATGGTTTTGAAATAAGATTTTGAAATTAATTACAAAAAATTTTCTTGTAAGAACATGCTTTGAAAGAGCCGAGGTGGCGCAGTGGTTAAATGCAGCACTGCAGGCTACTGCTAGATCAGCAGTTCAGCGGTTCAAATCTCACCGGCTCAGGGTTGACTCAGCCTTCCATCCTTCCGAGGTGGGTAAAATGAGGACCCAGATTGTTGGGGGCAATATGCTGACTCTGTAAACCGCTTAGAGAGGGCTGAAAGCCCTATGAAGCGGTATATAAGTCTACTGCTATTGCTATTGCTATTGCTTTTGTTTTCAATTCTCTTTAAAAAATTGTTAGAATGGAACTTGAAAGTTGGACACTCTGGGGAACCAGAAAGAACTAAAGATTAGTTACTAATCAAGTGGTTGTATTTAACTGAAAGGAAAATCAATTTTGTTCATGAACTATGTTTAAATTTAAATTGTTTTTATGTCTCCATTTGACAACTTACCTCACTGCTGAGGGCTGTGAATTTACAGAGAGAAATTATAAGGTTGTCAAAAACATCACTGAGGCCGTAATGAGCAGAGATCATGGCACATTTTCTGAAAGACAAATCACACAGTGAATGCTTCCAGAATTATTCCCTAGATTCTTCCCGTTATATTTTTGCAACACAAACAGATACATATCAAACCGTGACTATTCAAACCAAGTTGGTTTGGTTTCAAATGATACCACATGTGCATTAATGATGGGCAAACTCAAATAGTTTAATTATGAATTAAGCACAATAATCATTGTAATAAAAAATAAGATGACATTCAGAAATACAGCTCTGTCACAAACACAAATACTACTCAAATACTCATTTTTCATTCTTGCACATTTATTGCTATCTGTTTATTTACTGGAGGCAAATATTGTATCATCATCATTATCATGTTTCTTTTAGGTAAGATGCATAGGATAGCAAGTTTCTTCCAATGAATGCTATCTATGGTAGTGTCTTCAGCTTTTATCCATTTGATATCCACTGTTTGTAAGTCATTTTTAAATGTCTGACACCAGGTTTTGCATGGTCTATCCCACCTCCACTTTCCCTCTGGGGGTCCCATCATACAGTGTTTTTCGGGTATCAATGTTCTGGCAAAGGAACAATATGACAAGCTAGATACATTTGACATTCTGTTACAATGGCTGCAACTTCCTGGATCCACTCCACTGGAAAGTTTCCTCACTGCTGACACGGTCACATCAAGTGGCACCCAGAATTCTCTGTATGCAAAATTGATGGAACACATTGAGCTTTCATGCAGTGTGTGCTGTTAATGCCCATGTGTCACTGGTATAGATCACTATTGCTACAATAATTGTTTTATAGGAGGAGGAGCCAATGTCACGACAAGATGGTCGTGCGGTCTCAATGCTCTGAGACCGCAGCCAATATTTTTGCCGCTGGGTGGTCCAAATGGACCTAAGAGTCCCAAAGAGATGGTGAACAGGAAGAATACATCTTGCTGATCTCAGGGATATCGCAAAACCCCTGAATCGGTTTTTTTCTGAAAATGGAAAGAATGGAATACTGAAAGAGGAATTAAATGGAGAGGAAATCTATTCCAGAGGGCAAGATACAGAAGAAAAAACTATGGACTTAAAGAGAGAAATTCTATTAGCAAAAGCATTGATAACACTGATGACAATCAAAGATAAGCTGAATAAGGAAGCAAAAAGAGGGCATCAAGATTATATGAGAGATTTTATAAGCAAGGAGTTGCTAACAGAAGTCTATACAAAGCTGATCAAGAAGATGATTAGAGGACTGGCACCACAAATGGCAGAAGATATGAGCCTGTTTTGCTACTGGAAAGATACAGGTTGATAGATGGAAGAATATAATTTAAAACTAGTGAAATTTAGTGAAATTTATTGATAATAGATATAGCTTAAATAAATGATAATATTACTAATGTATACAATGTGTAATGTTATGATGAATATAATTGGATATGAATGTTGAATGGTACCCATGTAAGGAAGATTAACAATCCCTTTGGATTATACAATAATAATAATAATAATAATAATAATAATAATAATAATAATAATAATAATAATAATAATAATAATAAT